TTCAATAAAAGTACAGATAAGTTAAGTTTAAAATACGTAGATTCTTCCCGACTTCGGTGAACTCGTGCCCCGGTGCTTCAGCGTTCTGATGCACTGGGATTGATTGGAGAGTTCCTGGCCGACTGCAAAGTTCCCAAATCAAAGGTAGCGCGAAGGTTGATAAACTGGACAGCGGCCACAAGTTCATGTAATGTTTGAAATAGGACGGAATGGCAAATTAATAATCTTTTCTACCGTCCATCTCAATCACGGAAGAGACGATTTCTATAGACGATTGAGTGGGACACAGGTAACTTCATATGCTTCAGTCGAATAGCAATGTTTATCCAGGATTGGCTGAGTTGAACATCGATTGAGTAATCGACAGAAATGCAACGATTTATGATGATACACACCAAAGCACGTGTGACGGGATACCGCAGTTTCGGCTTGGCGGATGCCGTTCAAACATGACTTAAGCAATCTCCCAATCCATTTGCAGTTTCTCCTCATCTTGTCAGTGCCTATCGTTCAGCTGCAGTTCAACTGCATACTGAACGTTGCAACGTTTTCGGGTTATAAGTGCTGTTGTGAGATGTGGTCCACCTCGCAGTAACTATGCGGCCCATGCATCGAATACTGTCGTAAATCTGAAGAAATAAATCGTTCATTCACCGCTGAATCTGAATCCAGCTGCTTTTCACTCCCTGATCCAACCCAAATTGCAACTGACTATGTTCCTCTAGACGCAGCTCTTCGAGTCTTGAGAAGACTCAAGGCTTACAAAGTTCATGGTCCCAATCCACTTCCACTCTCTTTGTTGAAATTAATTTCATCACGACTTGAAACACCATTTTACCTGATTGTTCAACATGTATTTGCCATTGGAAACGATCCCTGATTGTCTGAGGTCATGTTGTCAAACTAGGGTTCCAGTCCTTGAACCTTTTTGGTACTCAAAAACTCTGGAAGTTTGTTCTGCAGCAAACAGTACCCATTCAGTTTGCCTATGAATCAAGTCTATCGTCACTTGACACTATTCCCTGTGTTGTAGATCGTTTTTTTTTTCCGGGACGGTTTATTTGACTTTTACTGATTACGTCACCGTTTGTGGTTCCCCCGATAAATAAATGTTTATACAGTTTGTTGTAAAAGACCCAAAATATTTGCATGTTTTGATCTCACACTTCTCCTTCAGCACCCGATTCATTTCATTTCGTGGTACAGAATTGTCAGCCAAAAACATTGGTTTTGACAGTTTCCAGGGTCCTATTACTTTTTTTTTAATTTTGCATACAGACTGATTCTCACTCTTAAAAATTTTATTGATTGCAAATAAGCGGCTGATGTAGTGATTGACTGCCCACTCTCTAGGGCAAACATTTCCAACCCTCTTTAAATGAGCATAAATGAACTTCATTAGTTTTTCCCATTTCCTTGTACTTAGCATCAGCATGTATTTTCATCTATCCTTCGATCTCAGAACAATCAGTCGCACATTATCCTCTAACACTTTTGGTGAGTTAGTACCTTATTCTGAGACACATCATTAGCCAGTTTGTCTAATACACGTTTACCCGGGGTAATAAATCCGTGGCGTGTACAGTGATGTGTTTCTCGAGGCCATTCCTTTACAGACGTATCATCAGTTCTTAATAAAAAAACAACTTACAAGGTGTTCAACTCATATCGCCCACACCAAGAACCACTATACTGGAATCGAATCACATCAGGCAAAGTGAGCAGAAATTGTACATTCCAATCAGATATGACGATAATTGCAATAGGCCCGGAATCCCAGTGGTTCGTTTTTTAACACCTTGTCCAACGAATGTGTTGCTTGAATGGAAGTGTAATCAGTACGTGCTATCTTTCTGGTGCGCGCGCGCGCACACACATACAACTCTACCACCATTCACAACATCCCCTCCATCGCGCCCCAATATGATATGTGATTTATGACCCAGTCCTGCTGATCCTGTTGACTAGTAAATCAAATCTTACCTGAGGGCGATCGAAACAAGTCACCCTCGGGGCCCGAAATGTTGTCCACTCAAACCGGAACACACTTGCCAACCAACCCGAGAAGTGGGATTGGAGAATCACAGATCGTTGTTGTGTCCCACTTGAGTGCAACGTCAGTCTTAGTTTTGAAGCCAACGCCGGTTGTCCGGTGTTTATGCCTGATTCAATGTGTGAGTTTTTTGTTATTGCTCAGGAATATTAAGTTTTATCCCCAATTCTGGCAGATAATCAACATGGGATATAGGAATTAACACGGAGGGTTGAATCGAGGGCGTAGTTGTATTCGAGGCATGTTGCGTTTTAGAGTTCGCAATGCCCCTTTGAATAAAACTATTCGATATTTAGAATTTCGCTTACACATTCATCAGTATCATTACTCTTCATCCACCAAATTGGGTATGCACAGAAACGAAATAGCGACAATGGGTGGAAGAGAACTCCCTTTTATTCAAATCCGATCGGCCTATTTTCGTAAATTCACTACAAAACGGGATTGCATATAGGTCAGCGATGAACAGAGACAAGGCCGAATGGTTATGTTATGAGCGTTTCCTCAACACTGTGTCTAGCTTTGTGAATAGAAGAGAAGTACATCGAGCGATGAGGTGATTAACGTGTGTGTCTGTGTATGTGTGAGAGGGGGTGGTTGGGCGGTTGGTGGAGGGGGTTTAGATGTTCATTTCACATGCTATAAAATTCACATTTTCATGTACGTTTTTAATGCAAAATACTATTAAATATAGATCTGTTGAACCTCATATTTAAATTTCATCGAAGACTAAGTTTGGTTAGGTTGGGTTCATGGCTGTTTATGTTGTTTGTTTATCGGATGTCCACTTTGCTCACCGACAAACAGTACATTTCAGTGGTATGCGTTATGATGATCAATAAAGGACACTGTAGAATTCCCCTATCCCTGATGGGTCTGGTCAGCAGCATGTGTTGTTGAGAACCAAACTGTTCAAGTTCGGGTTGAGAGTCAAAACCGTTACCGTCGATTGTAGTATCCGTGATCAGGAAAGAAAACCGCAAGCATTCCCCGTTAAATTTCGTTTATTTCAAATCAATTCAAGTCAGAACGTTAGCCAAACTATGGTTGAATACCAACGGAAAGCATATTTTGCGATGAAACGATCTATATTAGTTGTGTACGAATTGGGTTAAGAAATGTAGTGTTTTTTGAGTCTAGCTCACCTCTGTACATAAGTTCAGTTGCTTACTAAATGTGAAAAGTTCAAGCTGACGGTTGGGCTTCATAAATGGCTCAGCTTATTTACTATGGTTCAGGTGGAATAGAGTGAGCTGTTTTGGGTTCAAAAGATTTGCAACTGGGTGATTGGGAATACCGAAGGTCACGGTAGCAGACCGACAGCACCGGAGATTCTACTGTCACTTCTTGTCAGACCAAAATATTTGAAATACCGTGTAAGCATAGCTAGACTGTGTGTTCTGTGCATTAACCCCAGAGATACGATCCCCTTCCCCATCTACCCAAATATGCTAAACCCGATCCGAACATATGACGCTTACTTCTTGTGCATTGAATTTGGCAGCGATCAGTGAAGTTCTCTTCCCTGTACTCCGCTATTTGATGATGATGATGATGATGATGATGACGTGCATGATGATGATGGTGATTATGATGATACTACATAGGATACTGAAAACTGGAGCAAAGCCGTGGGTTCGAATCCTCATCAAAGTGTTCTGATTGTTGCATAACTCAAAATATTAATAATAATAATAATAATAAACTGGTAAGATAGGGAGCGAAAAATGAAAGTCAGGGTATCTAGCTCATGAAAAGCCATAATGGTGAAGAACACACAGATCTATTTTGCTTCAGTTTGTTTCTAAGTAGCGAATGCTAATATTTTTTGGTCTCAGGTAAGAGCATGCGATTTGTGTGAGACAATTTTAATAGCTTCGCTCAAATACATTCAGTAGATTATGATCAAAATGAGAAACACGATAGGCTTGTTAAGCAATATCAGATGAACAGAGAAAGCGTCCGCGCATCAAGAATGGATAAAATTTTACATCATCCATCATCTTTAAAATATTTTATGCAAATCTGCCTCCGTGACTGAACCAATAAAACCTTAGATAATAAATATAACTAAATCAGTAAATTTCAAAAGTGTTGATACATATTCCTCACATGATTCATGTTCCATTGCTATAGGGTCCAATAATCCTGCAATATTTTTGGTTTTTGGAAAAGACAATAAGAACGAGCTGCAGCGATTGCGTTGTGAGAACGTGCCATCGCGTAATCACCCAACTAACACCAATGAAATGCATGGGGACAAGTGGATGGTTTATTGGTCCAAATGGTGCACAGATTATCATCCGGCATTTTACCATTCGCCCCAAATGGGGACCTATTCTGGCTGATTCGGAACTGCGTGATAACGTTTTGAAGAGCACGCACAGATTAGAGCAATGGTGTCAAAAGATAGATTTTGTAGTCACCACCGAATCACGGGGGAGGGATCTAAGTTCGCCGATTCGGCTATTGGTGACATGTGCCTTACGGTCGAAAAGGAGACAGAAATGTGACAATTTTCGACTTTTAGGTTAGGACGAAAGCAGCAGATAACGTATGTACAAATCGATATCAGAGATGCAGTAAGGCAAATTGTATACACTGGAGCATACGAAGAAAAACAGCAAATACCTGATACAAAAATGAAGGAAGTAAATATATCCTAAATCACCTGTTAAATAAACAGAATAAGACAGAAGACTTCGTCTTTGTGGTCTGTTGGCGGTTTGATTTATTTGCTTTTCTCTAGGACTGCAGTTCTGCCTCCCCCCAGATGGCATTCTAACGAAATGTTTGATTACAACATCTAGTGAAAGTAAATTTTGAATCAGCCCATCCTCTCCCTTAGTTTCTCTCAATCCTTGTCATTTCTACAATCCTCATCTATTCAGCAGTTGTCCCACAAAATAGCCATATTTTATCATGGATTTGTCTGCTCGTTTGGAGCATGACGTGCTCTTGCGACTGGGCGCCACACGTGCCAGCGGAAGTACCTCGGCTTCCGATACAGCTGTCTCTAACAATGAAGTACTTCCGCAGTACCGGTGGAACTCTGGCCGGTGGAGGTCGATGCATCGATAGGCAGTACAATTTCATCTGCACTCCAGTCTTCCGCGTTTGTCTCACGTCAGAAGCACAGCGACGGTAAGTGTTATACTGTGATTTTGATACGGTTGCCTTTATCCTAACCCGATTGGTTGTTTTCATTTTGCTTAGTGTTAACATGTCCTTGCAGCTGTCCCCTCCCTCCTGATAATCTGAGCTGCACTTGTTTTGTTTATTTTTGACTGCTCAATCCCGTACACCCTCAATCAGGTCTTAGGTTCATAACTTGGACAATTTTATTGATTGATTTCAACAGAATGGCGATGCAATGCGATGAATAATAGGTTGAGACCAAATTTACTTGGTTATGTGCTTGTATGGTGTTCGGTTCAGGGTGAGGCGCACTAACACCTGACGTTTACTTTCTTACACGGTGCTCCAGTATTCGATTGGAGATGATAATGAGACGCGAGTTCTAACTTAGGTATGAAAAACAGTTTGGCTAACTAGTTCACGATGACTAACCAAATAGAGTGGCTCTGATTAACGNATTAACGTACAGTCTCGCTTTTGTCAGTCTTGAAAAAAACCTTTGGAACCGATCCAGTTATTTGACCCTCGACTTGTCACTTGTTCTATGTTACGTCAGCCAATCCGGTCGAGCACACTGGCTTCTTTGTATGGGATCCAGTTCTGCACCGACACTGAAAAAGAACGAAGCCCATGCGCTATGACAAAGTTTAATCTACGAAATTCCTGGTACCCCTAAATACCGATTAATAATAATTTTTCCATCCCTCCCTCACCGCCCACAAGCCCGCCGGCTGTCTGGCTGGTACACAGACAATGGTTTAGCAAGCAATTTTACGGGCCAGCTTTATCCCTTGTTCTCTCCCCTTTTTTCTTTCACCTTGTTCTACAAGTGACTTAAATTCGCATTGTGCCAAGATCAGATGAACCTCAATGCGAGTAGAATCCACACTNTGAACCTCAATGCGAGTAGAATCCACACTTGAATGCCCTATGCACTTTTGAATGCTTTGACAGTTGAGCTACGAGGACAACGTTTCGAACGATCTGGTCTGATCATGTTCGACATCCCCGACATATATAGTTTTAGGAACCCAATGGTTAGTATTCAATGTCTGCTCTGACAAGTGATATCCATGGATCGAAGCAGGATACCACGGATGAAATACCGTTAGATGAGGTGACTATTCAAAAGATTTCATTTAAACAACGGGCGGTGCTGGCCCGGTGTCAACATCATCAAATTATCACCTCGGAGGACGTAGGTTCTAATCCCACCATCATCGCATGACTCTTTATTTGTGTGTTGTATGACAGCTCTCTGATTGGCCGCTTCCTCCGTCCTAAAAACTGTCTTTGTGTATTCAATAAAAGAAAGTAAAAATTAAAGAGACGCGGAGGAAAAAAAAGAAACATGCTTACTTTTATGGGGAATAAATTCAACTTTGTTCAAAATATTCCACCAATGCATGATCATCCTCTTAAACCGT